CTTCTCTGTTCAGTTTCTTCATGCAGTGGTAAGTTGGCTTGGATCAGGGCTCAGAAATACAAATATCTGCATGGGAAGGACAGGTGACTTAAATGTAAAAGAGCGTACATTACTGCATATCACAACATCACCATTTATTTTCTCTCTATTTCCCAAAACAACTGTGTTGAAATTTCAGTCTCTTTTACAGATCATTAAGCTTTTCATCAGCCACCTTTTCCACATACCAGTCACGGTCCTCCTCATGCTTTGTTTTCCTAATGGAGGCTTAAGCTGTAGTCTTTTGCTACAGATGCACTTTGTTGGTATATTAAATCTAGAAACCCTCTTTGTATTCTAAAAAAGCATGCCTGGCTCACATTTTTTTTTTTTTTTTTTTTGGAAACATGTAGTTTTCTCAGTTTTTATCTCTTTTTTTCCATTCTTGAAAAGACATGGGTGTGAGGATAAATTTTTCTTTATTTTTGATTCTAGTAAAAGAAAAGTAGCAGTATTAATGGGATAATACCTGGAAGTTGATACTCAGCCTCTATATGGGGACTAATAGAGAGTGGTGGTGACTGAGAATATAAGTCCACCTATAGATGTGTCCTCTGAAGTTTTTTCAAGAAAAGCTGCAATCCTTATTATTTTAGGTGGAATTATTCTGAATTTTAAGTGTTGGCAACTAAATGTAAATTTAAGTAAACATCAATAGCATTCAACACTTAACAGTCAGTGGTTCAAGCTACCCAGGAGAAAACTAAGGATCAGATGCCCACAAAGGTTTGAGACTTTTAAGCCACATGATCTTAAATGTTCCTTTCCCCTAGGCCTTTTTCTTTAAACAAATACTTATTTATCTTTTACTATGCTCTGAACACACTTTACATTTCCTAACTCATTTAATCTACACAACAACATTATGAAATAGGTGCCATTGTTATCCTTATTTTACAGATGAGGAAACTGAGGCACTGTTAAGTGACTTGCCTAACGTCACAGAGCAAATAAGTAGTAGAGCCAGAATTCCAGCACCAGCCCTGTGGGACCACAGCCCAGAAATCTCTTACCTTTGTGCATGTAAATTTATATTTCTTATCATTTTTTTTTAAGTTTCTTTAACAAACTTTAGTTTATAAAATTTGTTGTTGATGACAATGTGCATATGTATTTGGATTTGTACAAAGTTAGCAGTTTAGAATATTTTTATTTGAAGGTGGGGAAAAGATGAGGCTGAATGTTATTAGATGGCTGAATGTTATCGTGGGTCAAATCAACACACTGCGTACATTAGTGCAATTGAAGATAATGAGATGCAGGTTAGGATCAGTCTCTTCCAATCAGATTTCATATGTAAATAAGCAACTGCCCCTTGATTGGCTGCTGCTGATCCTGAGATGAAGAGATTAATGTTTCGCTTTTCTGGTTGCTTTAGTACCCAGAGAATGTTAATATAAATGGAAATTCGGCCATATATTTAAGCAATCTGTCAGAGCAAACAGATTTCCAGAGTTTTTCAGTTAAAGGGGTTTTTGAATGTACGTATGAGCAATATATGGGCTGACTTTTTATTTCAGCAAATATGAAGATGTATTATCCCTTGAGGTTTGTTATTAACCTCAGTTTCACCTCCCTTAATATTTACTCCGCAGGTCAATAAATCTTGATACTCACTTCAGCAGAAGCCAATATCTTCAGATTATGAGTTATTAATCTTGGCCAAGCTGAAAAACTATGTGAATATTTTTCTTTTACTAGAGAAAATGAGAACTTTTTTTTGTCTCCTTTTTCATCAGGCTCTTTTAAAAGGGAAATTTAATTTTTATCCGAATCACCAAACTTCCTTTTCACATTCAATACTTGGATTTGAGGGTGTGAGTCTTCTTATGAATTTTAGAAAACTCTCTGTTCCATTGAAAGGACTGAAGGAGGCAGGGGTTAAACAAATCCTATTTCAAACCCTCCTGTAAACTACCCTGATTTTAGGAGAAACCAAAGATGGGCTGTGGCCAAATTCCTACTGCCATCTGTGTGTTATTTATTGACTTTGCTTGATTCGAGGCAAAACAAATGCAGTGTATTTCTAGAACCTGGAAGCAAAATGCTATGTAGTAGAGAAGTGCAGCTGTATCTGGCCCATCTCAGGATAAAAACAGCAAGTATAAAAAGACATGGGATGACTGCATTTGGTTCTCAACAGCTCAACTATTGGGATTGAAACATGCAACAGAAGAAATTGGTTTGTTTCTTCACAGGAGTGTTTGTAGGCCTTTAATCTGCAGACTCATGTCTATAATGATGAAGAAATTCAAGACAAAAGCAGATGAAACATTCATGAAAGAAGTCAGAGGTCATTTCACCTGATGGCTGGTGGTTGCTGCCGGGAGTGGAGGTGGGGAAATGTGGCATTTGGAAATAGATGCACAGAGGGCAAAGGGTCTCTCCAAAAGGTGATAAAGGGGAATATTTTCCAAAATGTTTGGGGTAGACCAGGGAAAAGGAAGAGTTGCTAAATGTGGTGGGAGACTCTCATCAGGCAGGCAAAGCCACTAGAACCTCGCCTCTCAGTGTGCTCCCTGGACCAGCAGCATCAGCATCACCAGAAACTGATTAGAAATGCAAATTCTCAGCCCTATCCCAGAGCTACTGAATCAGAAGCTCTGAGGGTGAAGTCCATCAATCTGTGCTGGATAAATCACCAAGTGATTGTGACACACATTCAAGTTTGAGAACCACTGCACTGGAGCACAGATTTTTCAACCTTATGTGTAGATTGCAATTCCTTGGGGAGTTTAGAAAAAATAATAACGTCTGGGCTTTACTTGGTCTAGAGTATGGGCTGGACATCAGGATGTTTTACAGTTTTCAAGGTAATTTTAATAGTCAACCAGTGTTGACAATTGCTCTAGGGCAAGCTCCCATCCCAAATTACTTTTTCAGATCTAATGCTCTATTTTCAAGCAGAATATTTTGTGATTCTTCCTTTACTATGCTGAAATAAAATTTATTGAATGTATTACTTATTCACAAATTCTTAACTGCACCATAAAAGAGAAATAATAGGAAAGTAATTTATAATAATATGCATTTCAAATATTTTAACTCCTGGGTCTGACCACACTTAACATGAAGCAAACAGAAGGCTGCAAGAGTTATTATGAATGTGACAGTTGCAGACGCAGATTGATCCATGTGTGTTGAATTGGCAACTCAAAAACCCTGGGTGGCATTACTGTGGGTGACATGATTTTCTTTTAAAAAGAACAGATCTCGATAAAGTTTCTGACAAAATAATAATTTTTTTCTTTCTCTGGGTTTTGGTTTAAAGTTTGTACTTAGAAGGCACAGTGACTTATTATAGGGGATACCTGCTAAGTTCTCCCCTCCAGGACTGACATACTCATTTCCCCAGCTGCAGGCTGCTGGCCCTTAGCTGATTGCCCTCCTTGGGATCTGCCCTTGGTTGAAGAAAACGCCTTCCCCAAGAGGATACCCTTTTTCTGGCACAGACTACTTTCAGTGGCTGGTTATAAAGACCATTCAGGACAACTGAGGAGTCCTCCCAGCTCTGGATCCCTGTTGGATTGTCTGAGACCTTTGCTGCAATTATATTGCAGCTCAACTTCTATCCCTGCCCCACCCTGCTTCCTCAGTCCCCCAGGGGTGTTGGTTCTGAGCTTACTCTCCAATAACCCTCCAGCTGCCATCTCAGAGCCCACTCCCCGGCAAACTGACCAGTAACATTGTCTAGGGAAAACCTGAGTCCTTGACTGGTCAGCAGTTTCACAGTTATCTAAAAAGAGTCTTGTCTAGTATTTTATCCCATCCAGAATGGCTTCATTGAGACAGACAGAGACAAAACGAGAATTTCATTTGGTAGAGGGACTGCTGGCAGGTAGAGGAGGAGCTGAGGCCCAGGTGGTGGAGGAATACTGTAAGTGCTAGGAACAAATCCCCCGGCATTGATCAGGTAGAGACTTGCACTCCATTGAGAAGCAGGGCAGCCTCAAGCAAAAATGTAAATTAGGCGATGTTTGTTCTACTTTTCCCTAGTGCCTTTTTCCCTCCATGGAGCCTATAGCCATCAGAACCTACTCTCTGGAAGAGATCTGATAAGCTATTTACCCCTTAGTGTGAATCTAAGTCAATAGCTTTATTTTTTTTTCCCACTCCCAGAGATATTTGCATTTTAAGTATTTTTATGGAATAAAAATTGTGGCCTATTGTTAAAAGGAATTTCAAGAAACTACCTATGGGGGTAGGGAAGAGAATTTTTCCTCTTCCCAACCACTCAAAGTCAGTTCTTACTAGGGACTTTCATAGGGTCACAAAAGGGTGGAAATGGGGTACCCAGCAGGAATGTCTGAAAAGGGTGGGTTTGAAAAAATAATAGGAAAATATCGTATCCCACAATTTCCTAGTAACAGTCAAAGATCAATCCTATGAGTTCTCCATTAACAAACACCCTATGGGAGTTCTGTTTGGCACAACTTCTGAAGACAGCTGAAAGACAGAAAAGAGATGTAAATCTTTCTCTTTAATATTGTTTTTTTTGAGAATCTGCTTTTACAGAGTTCCTGAGAAAACAGCAGGAGAATGAGCTACAGCCTCAACCACATCTCGAGGGCAGAGTCACATCTGCGTTAATCCAAGGAAAGGCAGGGGAGCCAACTCTTGGACTTTGACATCCTCACAGTTTTTGTTATCCACCTGCTGCCAAGAAGAAAGACAGGAGCGGATATAGCAGTTTCTTGATTGTACTCTGCCATTTGACAGCCCCCTTAAGAAGCCTCAATAGCTGGTTTTAGGGGCCAGCACATTCTTCCTTTCCCACCTCTGTGCTGGTCTTTTGCCTGCTCCCCAGGGCAAAGTAAGTGAACCTCTTCTTTCTATCCTAATCTTTGCCTGGAGAAATCTTTCTCAACACCTGCATGCATTAGCTCTCTACCCTAACATCTGATGAATGGCCTGCACGAGGACTAAAACTGAATGACTTCTCTCTGCCTCCACATGGAAAGAAGTCACTTTTGTCCCCTGTGTGGGGGTGGGACTATCTCATCATCTCATTTTTCTACCTCTGGATGGTGAGCTGCTTCTGTCTTGAAACTGTTCCCTCCTCTGCCACAATTCCTAGGACATCTCTCTCAGTGCCTTCAATATCGTTTGGAATTCGGTGAGTCTCTTGGTCTCTGGAAACTTTGGGAATGGTCATAAGCGTGAGGTGGACAGTGGTAGCTTTTTGGTTTGGTCAGGGTAAACCCAGCACTGGGTCTACCACTTGGGAGGGTGACAGGGAGGGACACTTCCAAACTACTCAGGGAGGGGCACTGTCCCCATCAGTCTTCACCTAGACCCAGGGATGCCTGGATATAGGAAAGACTTCAAGGTCATGGTTTGAGTCAGAACTCGGGGATGCCCGTTTTCTGGCCAGATCATTAGGTTTCTGTCTGATTCAGATTTTGGGGATGACTGACATCTGATCAGACTTTCAACAGTCATCTGGATTAGGGATGCCCTCTCAGATTTTTTCCAACCTTTTTACCATCCCTAAAAATGTCCTTTTCTTTCTCCTAGTTGTTATCTCGGGCAACTTTCAACTGGCTCCGCCTAAGAATTCCTCATTGGACTCGTTAAGAATTCCTCATTGGACTCGTTAAGAATTTGAAACCTTTGGGGCTCACTGATCTTCAACCTAAATGCTTAGCTTAGTCTTCTACTGCAATACAGCCCGGCCACAATATACATTAGGTGACCAGGAGGTCTGGCCCAAGAATGGAGCTCTTGATCATAACCCCATCTCGCAACTTGATCTCTTATTGCCAACACAGCAAATGGTCTGAGGTTCCTTATGTACAGGCCTTCTTTGAACTCGCTAAACATCCCATTCTCCATTCTGCCTGTCACATGATACTTCTTACTTCTACTTCTCTACCTTCTTCTTCTTCTGACCTAGATGACATTTGTCTTTCAGCTCCCCCCATACCAGTACTCTCCTTTGGCACTGCCGCCTCCCCCTTTAACTCCACAACCTTCACGACCCTCTACTTCTCCCTCCTTCTTCCTCTTCTCTGCCTCCACCCCTCTCATACGGCCACACCCAACTCTGGCAGGCCATTCCAGAACCCCTCCCTGCCTGCGCACCAGCTCCCTTTCTGGGAAGTTGCTGGCTCAGAAGGCACTTCCCAAGTCCATGACCCTTTTTTTATGTCTGACCTGTCTCAAATAGAAGCCAAACTGGGCAGCTTCTCAGTTGACCCCTCCAAGTTCTCTAAGGAGTTTGAATAGCTCACTCTTTCCTATGACTTGTTGTGGAGAGATGTCCATATAATTTTCTCCACTTGCACTACTGCGGGGGAGAGGGCTCGTATTTGGTCTAAGGCTAGGGAAAACACAGATGATCTCAATCGGAGACAACCCGGAATTTATACTGTTGGCTCCACCATGGTCCCAGATCATGACCCAAATTGGGATAACCAACAGGGGCTCCTCATACGGAGCGGTGAAACCAATTGCTTTCCTGTCTCACAGAGGGGATGAAGAGGGCCACTGCTGAGCCTGTGAATTATGGTAAAGTTAAAGAGATCACTCAGGACCAGGATGAAAACCCAGCTCTTTTCCTTTCATGACTCATGAAGCATTTGACTTTTTACTGGTTTAGATCCTGATACCAGGGAGGGAAATACTATCTTAGCCACGCATTTCATCTCCCAGTCGGCCCCTGATATTTGGTGTAAACTCCAAAAGCTTGAAAAGGGACTTCAGACCCCACAAGTGGAACTTTTAGACCTGGCCATCAAGGTCTTTAATAACTGAGATGATAAAAGGAAAGAGGAGAAAAGGCAAAGGGACCCCAGCATCAGGCTCCAGAGCAGAAGGAAGCCTTTCAAATGGTGGCTACCACCATGGGAGAAATCTCTTAGAGATGGGGATACTCTGGAGGCTCAGGCAAGAAGACATCTGTCCAGACAATAGCCTGCTCCTAGAAGTGTGCCCTGCTTTAACTGCAATCAGCTAGGGCACTGGAGCAAGGGGGGCCCCAGGCATTGGGTTCCACCAGGGCCATGCTCCAACTGTATAAAGCAAGAACACCGGAAGAGCGAGTGCCCCCCTTTCAAGAAGGGAGATTGCACTCGCCTTCCAGATCCAGCAGAGCCCCCTGCACTGGCCCCCTGCATACCCACAGACCTTCTGGGACTGCTCCTGTCTGACTGATGGGCCCTGGCTCTGGATTTGACTCCACTTTGCTACATTGAAATGGCCGAGTCAAGGGTAACAGTGGCAGGTAAGCAAATGGAATTTTTACTGGACACAGGGGCCACTTACTCTGCTCTTCCTGAATTCCCAGGACCCCTATTTCCCTCTCCTATCTCCATGCGCTTCGAGTCAGACACAGATCCCAAAGACAAGGCAGAGACTTAGCCATTCCCGATCAACTCTGCAAAACCTTTGTAAGCGTCTTAAGGTTATGACCTTCACTCCAGAGGTTGGGATAAGCGAGTGTAACCTAAGAAAGATATCACAGGGCGTCACAGCTGAGTAATCGAAGTTAAAGAAGGCCCATAATCACTTTGGAGAGATTGGAGCCAAATCGAATTTACCGTTCCCAGAGGAAAGTGACTTCAGAGCCATTCTGTTCAGAGGAGCTTCCAACCAACCCTAAAACATAGTATCCAGATAAGACTATTGTACTTGTGTACTAGTGTAACGCGCAACTGTCTGTACGATGACTCAGTAGTGGATAGTAGAAGAAACAGAAGGACTCGACATCCCGGCTGCTTGTCACAAATACGACAGTCCTTAGTGACTTGTTAATTTCTCCTAAGTCTGGCACGAAGGCAGGACCAGGAGTTGTCAAAGCGACTCCTGTGAAGATTGTGAGCTGCGGAAAGTCCTTTTGGAGGTAGACGAATGCGTTAAGACAAACCAGTCCATTCCAAAACCCGTGACTCCTGGTAGATTGACAAGTGTTGAGAAGGCTGAGTACGGGAAGGAAGGCGTGCTGCTCTTAGGTCCCGTATCTGCACAGGTTCCTAGAGCCTCATGCTTGTTGATAACAGCGTTCGTTTAGGTATTCGGCCTGTACTGAGTGCATGCACTGAACTGGGGTTTAATAATTGCTTCACCAGTGAACTCTCATTCTTTCCTGGAAGCAGCACGAGATTAGGAAAATAGGTATACCAGAGTCAGTGTAATGTAAGTTCTGATCTGTCTATCAGCTAAAGGCCCTAATCAGGCAATGCTGCCTTGAGCCAGAAACCAGAGGAAAGACACCTCGCTGTACTGCGTATGAGGTATGGACAATACATAACCTGCTCTGTATGCCATGTCGAATTACTACCCCCATAAGGTACCAGCTATGCATCGGGAAAGTATGGAACAGGAGTCCACGTCTAACTGCATGGGATCTCCAAGATTTCTAGCAGGATGTTTGGAGGCTCGGGGAGAAAGAAGCAGGGTAGCAAGGGTTTAAGCTCAACACGACAGAGAGTGATAGAAGGTATTACAATAACGGCTTGTTAAGTAAGTGACAGCAGATTAGGATGATAGCACTGTTGTTAAGACATCAGAGACTATACTGAGGTATAGACTGAGTTGCTGTCATTTCAGTCTTGTCAGCTTCTTGGCAAAGAGGGCTTGTGGCTCCGGGCCAGGTCTTAGACACAGCACTGTCCTTAGCTGTTGTATCATCCAAATTTTTAGGAATAAGGGACTCTCGAAAATCGAGTTCCTGACTTTTATCCTAATACTCGAAGAGCAACTGTCCCTTATCCATGCACATGCAAAGAAAAAGGTTTATTATTGTTAGAAAGGCTAGAGTGGGGGCTCTACCAGTGCAGATTTCAGGATCTTAAAGGCTTACAGAAGAGGGGACTTCAACTCACAAGGTCCTTGTCTCGGCTGGGAGGGCCTCATATAGGTTAGCAATGGCATATTGGGGGAATCCATATATGAAAGTAGCCTGTTACACTCGAAAAAGCTCTAAGATCTGTTGGCTTGGGGGTATCCATAGAGGAAATAAATTGTTTGTGCTGGGTGGTAATAGCTCACTTTCCTGAGAATAGCTGGAACCCAAGTAAGTGACTATGGGTGACTAATCCAAGCCTTTCCTGGTGAACCTGTATACCTTTAGTCTAAGTGTGTGAGGACACGGAAAGTGTTAAGAAGAGAAGTAGAATGGTCAGACTGAAAGAGGAGATCATCAACACACCAGACAAAGTGAGCTACAGACGAGAGAAAGTATAGACGAGTCCTGTCCAAAGAAGTGGGGCTATCTCCAACACCCTGGGCAAAGAAGTCCAGGTGAGCTGTTGTGAATGATTTTGTCAGGGTCAGTCAGCTGAAAGCAAATAGGTCTTGGGAGTCAGGAGACAGAGGTATGATGAAGAAGCATCTTCAAGGTCAAGAACGGGAAACCTGTGTATCGGGTGGTATAGTACTAAGCAGAGTGTGAGGATTCAGGACCACTGGATGAGGGATAACAGCTACATTAATAATATATAGGCCTGGATGAGGAAGCCCATCAGGCTTCCTTACTGGAAAAGATGGAGCATTATGGAGAGTGGTGGTAGGGGGAAGGAGGTCAGATCAAAGAAATTTAGTAGTAAGGGCTTGAGTCCCCTGAGACAATCTAACTTAAGAGGTATTGAGTCCTTCAGGGGAAGTGAGTAGGGTCTTTGAGGGGAGCTAGAAATGGGTGATGTGTTTGTGCCTTTCCTGGGGTGCTGGTGTCCACACTCAGGTGGCACATTTTGAGATACTCAATAGGAAACAGAAGTGGGATGCTCTGGGGAGGGTCTGATAACACTTTCCTTAAAAACCCAAGGAAGGGAACCAGAGAAGTCTGAAGGAGTTGGGTGCTAATCTGACCATCATATCTCTTCCCAACAGTGGGGTGGGGCAACTGGGGAGCACCAGAAAGAGGTACTTAAAACCTTGACCTCCAAGTCAGCAAAGGAGTTGTGAAGTATGCAGAGGGTTTGTATTTTAACCTTCCACTCTGATCATGGAGCAAGGAGAG